ATTATTGATTACCAGGCATGAAGAGAAGTAATGAAATGTTCTAATAATAACAGAAAACTTCATTATCATTAATGTGTACAAGCCAAGAAATAACAGATAATGGGACTAGTGGATAAAGATGCCAAAACTAGTAAAATAATAATAAAATGACAAAGTATGTCTAATAAGTAAAAATTAAAAATAAAATAGAACCATAAAAATTAATCTAAAAGTAGATAGGGAGAGGCAATAAGAAGAACAAAGTATAGATGAGACAAATAGAAAAAATAGCAAGATAGAAGTTTTAAACCCAATAATTAGATATTTGTATGAAATCTATATGGTCCAAACTCTTTAATTAAAATACTGAAATTTTGAGATGGCATTTTTTGTAAAGCAACATCCAGTATATGCTGACTACAAGAAACCTATTTTAAATGTAAAGACGTGGGTAATTCAAAATAAAAAGGTAGATTACTATTAAAAAATACAAATAAAAAATGTTGGAGTGGCTATATTAAACAAAGCAAATTTTAGAACACAGAATATTGCCTAGAACCAAGAGAGAGGGATTTCAAAATAAAGAGGTCAACTCATCAAGAAAGCATAGCAATCCCACACATATGTACCTAAAAACAGAATTTCAAAGTACATGAAGCAAAATTGATAAAATTCAAAAGAAAGTAGATGAATCCACAATTACAGTTTAGAGAGTACAAAATTCTTCTCTCAGTGTGTAATAGAACAAGTAGACAGAAAATCAGTAGACATATAGAAGACCAAAACAAACTCATCAATGAACTTGACCTGATTGACATTTATAGAACATTCACTCAACAATGCCTAGACTACTCATTCACCAAGATAAACTATATTATGGGCCATAAAACTAGTCTGTGTGTATATTAAAGTACTTATGTATAAATTAATAAAATTGAAAACAGAAAAATTACAAAACCAAAAGTTGGTTTTTGAAAAAATGAACAAAACTGATTAACCTCTAGCCTGATTGATGAAAAATAAAGGACAGAAGACACAAGTCACCAACATCAGGAATGACAGATAGGATGTCATTACAGATCCTACAGCTGTTAGAAAAGATAACAAGGAAATATTTTGAATTTAATGACAATAAATCTGACAACTTAGATGATATAAAAAATTATTTTAAAAACACAGTCAAAACTTATTTAAGAAGAAATACATAACCTGGATGGCCTTAGTTACAATAAAAAAATTTAATCCATAGTTTTAAAACTTCACATGAACAAAATCCAGAATACTTGACCTTAGAAATTTACTAATGAATTCTTCCAAGCATAGGAAGAGTAAATAATATAAATTCTATGATGTCTTTCAAAAATAAGAGGAGTAAACACTTCTTATCTTATTTTATGAGCCCAATATTACCATAATACCAAAACCAGAGAATATATTACAAAGAAAAATAATTACAGACCAATTTCCCTCATAAACATAAACATTAAAATATTTAACAAAGTTTGAGAAAATCAAATCCAGCCATACATAAAAAGTTCCATAAAAATTTCCACCATATATCCAAGTGGAATTCATTCTAGGAACACAAGATTGGTTTAATATTCAAGGCCAATCAATGTAATTCACCATTTTAACAAACCCCCCAAAAAAGGAAGCCACAAATTCATCTCCATAGATTCAGGAACATGTGGCATAATCCAACATCCATTCATGATAAAAGCTCTCAGCAAACTAAGAATAGACAGAAACTTTCTTGGATGGATAAAGAGCAGCTATAAAAACTCCACAGCAAACATTTATAATACTTAATGGCAAGACTAAATACTTACCATGAACAAGGATTTCTTTCTCTCACGACAGAGAGAAAATGTTTGCAAAATATATGCCAAATAAAGGACTTATATTTTTCTTCAATAAGAAGGAAAACAAACTATTTTATAAACAGGACCAAAAATTAGGTTAGACACTTCACTAAAAGATTTACAAGTGGCAAAAATCACAGGAAGATCCCTGGCTGCTGGATTGCTCAGTTGGTCGGTGCATTGGCTGATGCACAAAAGTTGTGTGTTCAATCCCAAACACAAAAGTTGTGTGTTCTTGTAGGGCACATACAAGAACCAACCATGGGGTACGGGTGTGCATGAATGGGTAGAACAACAAATCTTTCTCTCTCTCTCCTCCTCTCTCTCTCAAAATCAATAAATAAAAATTTTAAAAGCAAAAAATCACAAGAAAAGATGCTTAGCCCATGCCCATAGAATGGCTACGATTTTTCAAACAGTGCTTAGTAGGATGGTGACTGGGATGTGGAGGAACTAGAACCCTCATGCATTCCTAGTGGGAACACAAAATGCTAACAGCCCCTTGGAAGACAGTTAGGCAGTTTTTTCTAAAGTTAAAAATGCCGTATATCACATGACTCAACATTCCCTCTCAGGTATTTATTGAAGAGAAACGAAAGTATACATTTACACAAAGTGTTGTACTCAAAGGTTTATAGCAGTTTTATTCATAATAACCACAAACTAGAAGCAATATAAATGTCCAACTGTTGAACAGATAAATTGCAGTTTATTCATTTAATGAAATTCTACTCAGCAGTAAATAGGAACAAGCTAATGATACATAAAATAATATAGATGAATCTCAAAATTTTATGATAAATGAGAGAAACCAAACACAAAAGATTGCATACAGTGTCATTTCACTTATAAGAAACTCTAGAGAAGACACAACTGGACTGCTGAAAGCAAACCAGCCTTCGCTGTGTGTAAGAAGTAAGGGGACGGCCATGCCTGCAAGGGGCACAGGGGGCTTCGGGTGAGCGATTGCATGTGCTGCTGTGAGCATTTGTATCCCAGTTTCTGCGTGAATGCACGTTTTTATTTCTCTCGGGTTTATCCCTAGGGGAGGCATTGCTGGGGTGTATGATAGCTCTATCATAGTTCCTTAACTTTTAAGGAACTATATCATGACTGCATGGGTGGTCAGTTACACACCGTACACTCATGTCAGAACTTATGGCACTGTACATTTAAAATTAGTCAAATTTATTGCATGCGGGTTATACTACAAGAAATTAATTTCTGAAGCAAAAAAATGAGATCAAAGAAGAAAAAAATTATTATTAATCCTGAATCATACACTTTACTGGTACACAGTATTCACATTAACAAGATGCTATTCACTTTGTGCTGTGTAGACCTAGCTGAGTCCAAAGTCTCCTGTGACTATTCAAGAAGTAGTGACAGGAACACAAGCAGGAGAGAGGAAAGACCTGGGTTTCGCTCCGGGAGCCATCGCCGACCACCAGAAGGGTATGTGGTATGCTAGTGCAGGTGCCTTCGAATGCCCCTGCTTCAAGTATTCCACCCCAGCTTGGCTCCTCTCCAAACTTTTGCAAAAGCGCTCTCTACAAGCCTTTGGGATTGGGTTTCCTTCTTCAATCTAAATCTGTCTGCTTTCCATCTTTCCAGGATTCCTTACGGTTTAGGACCCACTGGAAAGACTCTCACTCTTATCTTTGAACACATGTGTCTGTGACTTCTGTGACTAGAAATGCTTTCTGTCATTTCTAAGGGCTCAGAACAGAACACTATGCGTGCTTAGTCTGCCTTCTTCTTATAGGTCACAGAGCTCAATTTCTTAATCTAAAAATTATAATATATAGTCTTCTAACAATTTTTTGGAAGAACCAAATAACCTAATGATGTAAAAGAACTATTGAAATGGAGAGGAAATAAAACACTTGTAATTAAAGCCAATGTTCTCTCTAGAGTGAGTTGAAAGCCAAAATGAGATTTCTCATTAAGAATTTAATTCTTTTGCCTAACAAATTTTTCTTGTCTACATATGTCCTACTTGAGGTCTCCCATTGTTCCAGGAGAATCCTAAAGTGTATTTATCCAGCGAGACAAATTAAATTAGTGCTGGATTTTTAGAATACCTTAGATAAGGGGGCCTGGCAGTGGGGGCGGGGAGAGGGAGAGAGACATGACTATGGGTAGGTAGGTAGATATTGTTTCTTATTTTCTAATGTTGTTAAAGGGATATTAAACATTCCTGTATGTGTCTTTATTTAAAAGTGATGAAACTGAAGTCTTGTATATGAAGACCTTCCCCTGGATGAGCTAAGATTCTGCCATACAACACAAACGGAAATACACTCGTCATCTCTCCTCCATCATATAACACACAATCACAATTCTCAAAAGATTTTCTTTAGCTTCTCTCAGAAAATAAAAGTGGGCTCTGTGCTCCTAGTTATACAAAATCGCACCATGGACACTTACCTGGGGAAGTCTGCTCAGCTGGGCCTCAAGTTGCCGGCCAGCGGTTTTTCTCAGGACAAGACAAGGTGCCAGAGGAGAAAAAACTGGCAGGAAGCCAGTGTCGGCACCGGCAGGCACCCGAGACAAGAACGGGTGGCAGAGCAGACCCAGGTTACACTTACACCAGGCTACATACAGTCCAGCTTCCAAACTGACACTAACCATTTAAAACTTGAACAAGTAACACTGGCCATGCACAAAAACATGCAAATATCAAGTCTAAATGTCAACTATATGTATTTAGCTAACCAAGGAAAAGTTGAACTTGGCCAGAATGATCAAACGCAAAATCGAAACAGACCCATAAGTACAGAAAACAGACTGACAGGGGGGCAGGGAGGTGGAGGGCTGGGTGAAAAAAGTAAAGGGATTGAGCAAAACGTGCACACAAACTCACAGACAGAGACAACAGTGTGGTGATGACCAGAAGGAAGGGGAAATGGGGGAGGCAGAAGAGAGTAAAGGGGGAGGTAAAGGGTGACAGGAGACTTGATTTCGGGTCAGTATATAGATGATGTATTACAGAATTGTACACGTGAAACCCGTGTAATTTTATTAACCAGCATCACCTCAATAAATTCCATTAAATCTTTAAATGAAGTGAAGAAAACAATTTTCAATCGTTTCAGCATTTTAGTGGATATCAGAGAGCACCCACAACCAGGAGACAGAACGCGGCTGGTAACTTACGTCACTGTCCCAGTGCAGCAGCTTCGGCCCGTCACGCTGGAGTGAGAGGGCAGTTGTGGCCCAGATATTTGCTCCCAGGGCTTCCAATGCCACCGAGATGCGTGTGATTATCGAGTAATAGAGAGGGACATTCCTTATGTTGTGTCAGTTTGCAAATCCAGCGAGACAAAGATATAGTTGTCAGCTCCTAGGACAGGCCGGATTCATCGCCCATGGTCATGACACTGCCAGCACCTGTCCTCCCAGCAGGTTGCATGCCTTCAAGTGGAGGAATACAGGACTCCGCCCCAGCCTCTCTTCCACGGGCTGCAGTGGCCGTAAAGAGGGCCCTCCCCTCAGTCTGTGCCAGCACATGGGAAGCAGTCAGGGGAGACCACTTATAATTATTTGATGCAGATGGTCACTTCATTAACATATACACCAAGCAGCCCATTCCAGAGTGTTGAGCTGCCTACCAATCCTGTGAAAGCCTTCAGGCTAATAGGCTATATAGTTAATCAAGAAAGGGCCTCTCAGACCACTCTGGAGGCCCATTTTGTGAGACAGGCAGAGGTGTTTCAGCAAGTCCTAAAGAGAATAGCAAAGTCCTGGGTTTCTGCCACTGAAGAGCCAGATGCAGATGCAGAAGCTCACCTGTTCCTAAATAAGGTCATCAGAGTGTGTGGAACTTGTCACTAGACCTGGCAGCTTTCTTGGCCCTTATTCTGTAGCAGGTAAATCTATAGCAGGTTCCGAATTGTAGAAATGGACCCTCCTCATAGCACTGAGCTAAGCTAAGGCTCATCCTGAAAACTCACCTCTCCCAGAACAAAGAAAGAAAATCAGGTGGCCAGGAATGGCTGGAAACTCAGGTCTCCAGACTTTAAAGTGATAACAGAACTTAAGAAACTCACAAGTCTAGTGGTTTTTCAAACACAGTTGAGAAGCACATTTATTTGCAAGTAACATCTTTGAGTGAATGCCAATGTATAGAACAGAGAAAGCAAAACGGTTTCGAAGGAGGGTCTGGGGCCCAGAGATCCATCCACCTGTTTCTCCTCACCACCGCCTTGCCTCAGAATGCCACAGGGCAGCTCTCGGAGGAAACCTAGCTCTCCTCAGAGCACAATCTGGAAAACACCGATTAGAGAGATAATCTCATTTCAGAGAAGGAACAGAGCCCGGGGGGAAACAACCTCAGGGACCGTAATCTAGTCTCCCTTTCCTCTAGGCAGGCAGATGCTGTGTACTGACCCCACAGACCCAAAAGTGTCGCTAGCAAAAGGGCAGTGGACAAAGAGCAATTCGGTTCAGCTTTAGCCCTGAGTTCCCTCACATATACAGTGGGGTCCACTGAGGGGTTTAACATAGAAACCGTCCAGCACAGGTTGCAAAGCCCCCAAAAGATACCCTAATCTCACCATCTGCCCTGAGTTCCAGCCCCATGTCACTAAAATACATATAGTCATACTATGCAGGTTTGCATGAGTGCCAATGTACGGAACAGGGGAGGCAGGCATCTGAATCTGTTCGATAAGGACAGACCATCTGTAAGAATTCATGACCCTCCACTCCTTCCCTCCCTCCCTTCCATAGGATTTTGCTGCCTGAGTTATGTAAATAATTGCATTTTACCTGACCTTCTGTAGAAAAAACCTACAGCAGAAAAATTCATTCCTGTTCATGAACAGAAATTTCTTCGGATTCTTATCATCTATCTCCTGTGCATTTTAAAGTCTTTTCACAAAAATTTGAACCATTCTTATAAAGTGCCAGCTACATGGACAGCATATCTAAATCTTAAAGTCCAGGACTGACTCCCATTCCTAGACAATCATGACTAAGATGCTGCTGCCACATTTATTTCATGGTTCACACACAGCTCCTTGCTCAGTGCAGCCTCCTTGCATCTTCTCACTAGTCAAGTCAACATCAGTGCCTTTTTAAAAACACCGTAAATCTCTTTGATTGGGACTTGAGGCTGCAATCATTCAATTTGTGTTCAGCTAAATTGTCTTATCTCCTTGCGTGCCAGGCTGTCCCTGGCATGTCCAGAGTCATGTCCCTGGATGCCAGCGTCTGAAAGCGACAAGCAGGAGCATCCAAGCAGGACAGACAGGCTTTCTCTGGCCCTGCCACTGTGGGATTCCAATGATGACAGACAGGAAACTGCCATGTGACCATGACTCCCAAGATGAGGAGTCTGCTCCTCCCACGTGGAGACAGAGAGCAGCCTGAGCACAGACCTATTAATTTCAAAAGGAAGGAGACAGCTGCACATGTTGCCTGTGACTGATCTTAGGCAGAGTCTCCCAAATGCCAGGAAAAATATTTGCCAGGAACTTTTTTTCTTTTGTGTTATTAAATTTATTGGGGTGACATTGGTTAATCGGGGCCATGCAGGTTTCAAGGGAGCAATTTCACAACACATGATCTGTATATTGCATTGTGTGTCCCCCACCCATTTTCCATCCCCATATATTTGGTCCCCATTACACTTTATTATCCCCTCCACCCCCTTCCCTATGGTAACCACCATACTGTTGTCTGTGTCTTTGAGTTTCACTCATAACCCATGTATGAGTGAAATCATACAGTTCCTAGCTTTTTCTGACTGATGACAGTTTTGCTCAGCATAATATTCTTAAAGTCCACCTATATTGTCGCAAATGATAGTATTTCATCTTTTCTTGTGGCTGAATAATACCCCACTGTATATAATATGTACCATATCTTCTTTATCCAACCCTCTATCAAAGACACTTTGGTTGTCTTCATGTCTTGGCCACCATGAATAATGCTGCAGTGAATATAGGGGTGCCTATGTTTTCGCAAATAAATGTTTTTGAGTTTTTTTGGTTGATACCCAGAATGGGGATTGCTGGGTCATATAGTAACTATTTTTTGGCAGGAACAGTTTTTAAGAAAAGCATTTCTCCTATAGTTCTAATGCTGGCTTTTTAAATGTATTCATTCAATCACCTGACATTATTGAACAGTTACTGCAGGCAGGCATTATTCTGCATGTGGATGCATCCACTCATGCCCTCATCACATATTCATTCATTTAACAACCAGTATTTTACAACTATTTAGTGTCAGGAACCTTGCCAGGTGCTGGGCATACAAAGCAAAGACACAATTCTTCTTCTGGGGAAGGACAAGGAACACTGGTGCTGAGTCAGTGGCTGCTTAGTGCCAGGCCTTGGCCAAGGACTCTATGGCCATTGTCTCATTCAAGACTCCCAGCAATCCTGGGCCCATTTTCCAGATGAGGAAACTAAGGACTTAGAGAATGTAAGGCACTATCCCAGGTCTTTCTAATTCCAAAACTGAAATTCCTTCCAACTTATTAATGACTATAATAAGAAGAAAAACCTATAGTATAAGAAAAATACATAAATAATAACATAGCAGAATCCTTTCCATTCAAAGATGGCAGCAATTTCTCCTTATGTGTGTGTGTGTGTGTGTGTACCTGTGGTTAAAAATAAATGTGTGATGTGGAAAGAGTTCAGCAGTTTCTCAAAAAATTAAACATAATTATCATATAACTCAGCTTTCCCACTCCTAGGAATATACCAGAGAAATGAAAGCATTTCATTAGACAAAAATGTGTACGTGAATGTCCATAGCAGCATTATTTGTAATAGCCCAAAAGTAAAAACAACCCAAACATCCATCAAATGATAACTAAATAAATAAAATGTGATATATTCATACAATGGGATATTATTCATCTATAAAAAGAAATAAAGTACTGATATATGATTTACAAGGTGGATGAACCTTAAATATACTATGCTCAGTGAAGGAGGCCAGGTACAAAAGGACATGTGTCATATGAGTCCATTTATATAAAATGACCAGAAGAGGCAAATCATCCACAGAGCCAGAACATAGATTAGTGGTTGACAGGGGCTGGGAGGAAGGGAGTGATGGCTAATGGGTACAGGGGTTTTGGGCGTGGGGGGTTGGGGGAATGGGCATCGGTGGTGTTGAAAATGTTCTACAATTTGATGCTGGTGTCAGCTGCCCAACCTTGTGAACATACTGAAAACTACAGAATTGCACAGTTTAATATGGTGTCTTCTAGGATAAGGAGTAAGAAAGAGAAATCAGTGGGCCACAACAAGCCAACATGCTGGTGAGGATTCGGCTTCCTCCTTGCTCAAAGTCATGGCCCATGAGGACCTTCACTCAAGGACCCCTTTGCAAGCTCCTGCTGCTTCAGCTGCTCACCACAGGGAACAGAAGTCTGGGGGAACCCCAGCCCTTCTGGGGGAACCCCAGCCCCTAATGCAGAGATGCTAGCAGGGCAGCCGTTGGCAGGGTTCAAAAGCAGGTGAAGTTTCTCTTTCCCGCTCTCAGCTGTCCTCTCCCAGAGCCAATCCAGGGTCCAGTGTCAGAAGACTTAGGCCCCAGGCTCAATCTAGTTGCTAACTTGCTCCTTGACTTCAGCAAAGTCTTAGTGGTCTTTCAAAGAGGCTAAATTATTCTGACATTTTGCCATTAATAAAAGAATAGGGAGGAGATGGATCATCTTTATTCATTTTTTTCCTCATACAGCGACAGCTGCCTACTTAACCTTGGGTAATACTAAAAATCAAGCAAACAGCCACTGGACATGAAGGTGAAGTCTGTGAGCACTCAGCCTTCCAGTTCTAAGCTGGCCAGCTGCAGAACTGAGACCTCCTCCCAGTGAAATGCACCTCCACTGGGGCCACTCCAAGAAAATGAGAAATTCCCTGTCCCAGGAGGGCCAGCTGGGTGCCTCAACCCTGTAAGTCATAGATCTCCTGGGCTCGAAGGGTCTTCCAGAGCATTTAGCTTTGGCCCCTTGTTTTATAAATGAGAAAGCTGAGCCCTGGGCATTTAAATTCCTTGTCCCCAAGTCACAGGCTAATAGAGGCACAAGTCCATTCTCTCCCGCCTCCTGCCCAGGCTCTTTTTAACCCAGCACACTGCTTCTCCAGAGTCCTTTCTTATTTGTAGAAACCCTATGCTCGAGATGGCCAAAATGCATTTGTCCTTGCACCTGTGACAAGCCTGACCCTCTCCAAACCTGCCATATAGCCCAGGCATGAAATTTCACTCATTCTGGGCTTGTTTGCCAGTTCAAACAGAGCTGGACCTTAATTATGCAAATGTCAAGAAAAATGCTGGGAGTATCATTTAGGGGAAAGTAAATGCTGCCCATAAAATTCTTACCTTAATTGTAAGAGTCTTAACCTGGGAAACTATGTCTCCCTATCACAGCATCTGTTTTGTGGG